TGGTATTTGTGTTTTTGTTTGCATTGGTACATGTCCCCCAGGGCAGTGCTCAGCTCCTCATACCCTTTATTTGACATTCTCCTGACTATTAGCCTTGAAAATGGAGAGAATTGATTTCCAAGATTAGCCTCCCATTAAGTTTAATTTGGTGTGCATCAAAGTTCACAAATGGTGAACTTTTTTTGCCATGTTCGACGAACACACCTAAAAACTGAACCCAAGCAAGTTCGGCCATTACTTGTTGCACATAATGTTTCCGTAGCTGCTCCACAGTTGTAAAAGTTATAGTGTTTGCTACAGGCTAAATCATGCTCTTTGTTTCCTATTTTCCGGCCTCCATTAATAAAGAATTCTTTAAATGTTAATTTTTATTTTATTTAAGTATGTTCCTTTCATTACTTTAATTTAGGTAATTAGGGGCACCCCACGCCAGCCCCCGCCCCCCCCCCCGCCGTGAAGTCAGCGCGCATGCGTGTGATGTCACCAGGCGCGTGCACGATGACATCATTGCGCATGTCCGGCCGTCTAATTGACTCCTTCCGGCGGCCATCTTGGTGATGGACGCCGGCAGAGAGGAAGGGAACGGATGAGGTATGCCGCCGTTTCCCCTCCTCTCTCCTGATACCTTTTTAGAGGGGGTCACACCAAAATCACTGTCAGTAATGTTGGTGTCACCCCTCCAATGGTTTCAACCGGGTGCGGGCCGCCCCCCCCACACCCCCCTTGTGACGCCACTGTAGGTAATCTAACATTAAATATTTAGTGTTTTTTTCCAGTGAAAAATAAATACTTTATTTTGGTCTTTGTCCTCAAAAGCTGTCTGAAATGTCTGGGCAATATACGAGCGCCAGCCTCGGCATTGGCCTATACACATACAGCACAGCAATTAATTCATAAAATGAACTCGGATCACACTAATCCAGCACGTTATTATTCTGAGTTGCCCCACTCAAGCGGCGGCCATATTGAGTGGGGCACGTGAGATTAATAACGTGCTGGATTAGTGTGATCCTAGTTCATTTTATGACTTCATTGCTGTGCTGTATGTGTATAGGCCAATGTAGTTGGATCTGTATGTGCGTTATAATTAATTGAATTTAATTGATTAAAAAAATGTTCGATTAATCGAACACGAAAATTTTAATCATTACCAGCCCTAATATATATACACATGGTATGATGTGCGATTCAGGATAAATGACTGCTCCTGGATGCTTCTATCCTGCATCCAGGAACAATTATCCATCCTGAACCGCATGTAATCACACCATGCTAACTGATGCAGCTGCGGTCACATTGTTATTTGGAGCCATCTTGGCACAACGGCCGCATCTGAACAGGCACACTCGGTATTCCTGTGGCAAGAATTCATAGGTTCTTGCCACAGGAGTCCCAGAATGCACATACAAGTCCCATGTAAATGCAGCCTTACATGTGGATTTGTTGAAAAGCTGTCTGTTGTGTGTGTTCCTTTCACAATGCATCCTACTCTAACTGATTCAGTGCCGACTGTACAGTAATTCTGGCTCTTGTCTCTGACATAATTTACAGTAATTTTTCATTATCTTGGTAAAAATTGCCTTCTGTCTCTTTTTAAATGCAACCTAGCAAATAGGCTTTTATGATGTGCAGTGTGTCTGTGCTGTTTCTGGCTGTTGTCTTTGTCATAATCCATTATAATATTTTATCTCTTGATAGAAAGTGCCTTGTCTCTGTCTCTCTCTCTCTCTCTCTCTCTCTCTCTTTCTGTAACGGCCGCCGCCGTCACCTGCGAGCAAGGAGGGAGGTAGTGGCGGCCAGCCGCTCTTTCGCTGGGTCGATTGCGTTCCAGGGTGGAGCGCACGCTCCGCATTTCCGGGTTTCGGGACAGCGTGCGTTCCACCGTGGAACGCGGAAGTGCGCCGAGACGTCCCTCGGCTCCTCCTGTCCATCAGTGGCCTATTTAAACGCCCAGTCGAGACAGCATGGCGTTCCAATATTGAGCCAGAAACGCCTGCTGTCTCCTGGGACCCTCCACAAGCCTCCAGATTGTGCCCTCCAGCATACCCCGGATCCGGATACCACCCAGGAGCCTCTACTGCTTCCATTGTGACACCTCCACTAAATTGCAAGTACTCTCAGTGCTTTTGCACTCATTCTCAGTTGGACTGTTACAAAGTTATCTGCATTGGCTTAAGTTACATTGGGGCTTTTGTACTTCCACCAGTTTGGGGATATATCATTGGACTCCTGCATTTATACTCTTCATTATCATTTGCCACTACTTCGCCATTTACTTGCATAATTAACCCCATCCATTTAAGCCATATAATTTAAACTGAGGCTGTGATGCAAGGAACTCTAACTCTCTGTTAAAACTGAGAGAGTGAAACCAGAGTTCCAACCCTGAGAAGCCTCCGCAGCTGAGATCCATGCTACCTCAGTCCGTACAGGCGTGACACTTTCTCTCTCTTTCTTTCTCTCTCTCTCTCTCTCTCACTCTCTCTCTCTTAAAGTACGGCCTACTAAAAAGGCTTTCAAAATGTGCAGATTGTCTAAGCTATACTTCTGGCTCTTGTCTCTGACGTAATACAATGTAATTTTTTATTGACAATAAAACTTGCCTTGTATTTCCTTCATACATAGCAGTCTAGTAAAAAGGCTCCCATTACGTGTAGCATGTCTATGCTATATTTCTGGCTACTATCTACATAATACTGCTTACACACTGTCCAAACACTGTGCTATATATCTGGCTATTGTCTCTGAAAAATGACTCTGTAATTATTATTTCTTCATGACAACAATGTGGGTTTGTGGTTTTGAAGTGCTTTTGTGTACCCTGTGTTGACATCTGTAGACAAACTTTGTAGACAATACAGTGTGGTACTGCACAAAAAGATTATCAAAAGCTATGCCCTAAAACATGCTTTGCCAATTGTTATGAAGTTATGGGATTTAGATTTATTTTATTTTGAAGTGTAAACTTTTCGACTTTTCCTGAAGTCTGCACAAAGCTTAAAGGTCAAATGTTGTATATATTTTTCCCGTATAATTTGCTTCCCTCACCCCCCTTTCTTACAAAAATGTTCTTACTGCTCATGCCATTCCATTCATTCCTGGAAAAGCCTTACTAATGGTAAGTGACCGTTCGGACCACAGCTTTTAATGCGGCTGCAGCACATATGTGCAGTAAGAAGCTGACATTTTCGCTAGAAAAGCTGTACAGGTTCGGCAGCAGGAAAAATAAACTCTTACATTAAAATTACAGGTGTAGCACCCCTTGACCCCCAGATGCCTGAGGTGGACCCCCAAAGCGCAGAGAGGGCTGACATTGTACTCTCAGGGGCAGATCTTTAGCCAGAGAAGGGATGTGTGATCAAAAAAGTTGGGCGTCAGTCACTTTAAGTGCCTTTTTAAATGCTTTATTACAGAACATCAAACTGGGAGAGAGGGTATAGGGCTCCAGACATCCATGGCAAACATAGGACAGACTCCAGATTTACCAATCCCTTCAGACTTCCACAATGTAGAAACAATAGGAGAACAGGCTGACACTGGGCAATAGAGCACCAGCTGAACAGGGATGGGCATGAGATCTTCCACAAAAGAGACACCAGACGTGCTCATGAGGTTCATATCAGTATCAGGCACCTCCAGTAGCCATCCAGCTTCCCTGTTTCTTTTCTTCAATATGTTCCAGACCCCTCCAGGGTCTACATGTGTGAACTCCTCCAGGCTAATCAGCATTTCCATCTTTAAGCATCCCAATCCCTGCCAAGCACATGGCAATCCCCTACGTATTTATGCACTCCCCCAGCATGCACCACTGGCAATGAAACTCTCAGTGATAGGCTGGTGAGACAAAGACACTCATAATGTTCTCTTAATGGCTGCCCCACACTGCAGCTGGGTCACACCCCACTCAGGCAGGTACAATCAATAACCAAACACCTGGAATGAACCAGATAATAGCCAACTATAAATCAGCTAGACTAACTACAGCTCTAGCAATGCTAAATTTTCTAGTAGCCACGCCACTGAAGGTGGTTTAAAGGAAAACCAAGAACAATATTCCAAACAGATCAGCACAGCGGATTTGTAACTAATTGCTCCTTTATTTGCATTTGTCATCAGTAAGCTTGATTGTACAGTAGATGAACAGTTTCATTAAATCAGTCTATATCATAGTCATAACTGCAGTGATGTCTGAACCTTGCCAGAGCTGCTCTGCTATTATGGTTCTATGATATAGAGAAAATTCATGACACTACATGTGTATCAATGTGATTATTAATGATGAATGCAAATAAAAGAATAATGAGTTATAAATCCTCTGATCGTAGAATAAGGTACTGTAGCAAAGCCCAGGTGTGCAGTCAGTTTTCAATGGTTTACCAAGAGAAACATACACACACCATCATTGCTGACCCGGATCCATCTGATCATGCTACTTGCCAGGATGCCTCTTGCTTCAGGAGAGAAAAAAACAGTTCTGGATCCTTTCAAATCTATATTTATTCAAGGCATAAGGGCAAACGTAGCAGTCTGTTTGTCTTCTTCGAGCTTACCTCTTGCTTCAATACTCTCTGTGTTGGTGATCCTGAACAAGCATACAGCTAGTAAAGTCTGAACTCCTCATTTGCATACTTGCTCCAGGTTTGTGATTTAAAAAGCACAGTAATGAATCAGCTTGAATGTCAGGCAATTAGCATTTTCAGAGCGAGATCAACATATTCCTCTTATGTCAAGAAATTACTAATTAGGTCAGGGGTAGGCAGCCTTGGCACTCAAGCTTTACTGAAACTATAAATCCCATCATGCATCTGCCTCTGGGAGTCATGCCTGCAGCTGTCAAGAGTCTTGCAATGCCTCATGGGGCTTGTAGTGCCACAACAGCTGGAGTGTCAAGCTTGCCTACCCCTGAATTAAGTGATGAAAGCTATGGCACACCCATCCACATAGCATTCACATTAAATGTTTGAGCAAGTTCACTGGTAAGGATTTGCAATCAAGGTTTCTTACATTTTTGGTGTATACCCGAACCACTGGTTTGTTCCCCAGAGGACCTCAACCACTTTTGTACAGTGCTCCACATCCAGCGGTTCCACTCTCAGATTGGCATGGTGAGTTTTGCCTGCTCGATTCTTGGTCAGATTTCCCCAATGCCTCGGAGGCCCCACTCCCGGCCCAGGGGATCCCAGTGTGCTCATTTGGCGACTGCTGCAGCGTTTTTGGGTGGAGGTCTCAGTGAAGCAATGAGTTGGCTTGGCAACTGGTCAGAGGTTTGCGAAGTATACCCATCCTTAATCATGAGGACTCCTATGCTGTACTGAGCTAAATATTAAGCCATGTATGCCCCTCACTGTCTTGGTGGGTGGCAAACTTGCCCTCTTCTGATCAAGTGCTCTATCTCCTATGTTTTCAACTGCTCTGTCCCCCAATGCCCCCTTCTTATTTTTTCAGATTTTTTTTTTGTGCCCTTCTGACTTTCTTCATGGATACCTCCCCATGATTTGGAGAACTTTCCCAGAATCCCGGGATCTAAAATTTTGCTTCATGGGACTCTGAGGTGTTTACCTGCCCTTGGCTGTTCTGGTTGTTAGCCCTGGTTTCCATGTTCGGTTGGTCTGTAATCTATTTCCAGCTTATTTCCTTAATTGTGCCTGCATATATGGTTGTAGCTTTGTTACTAATTTTTCTGCATTAGAATCTCATTTGTATGGTGCTGGGGGATGGGGGTCCATTTATTTTGTGGATACACCCCCCCTCCCAATTTGTTGTCTAAGGAAGGCCTTCCCCCGCCTGTGCTGTGCAATGCCAGAAGACTATTTTTTCACATTCTGTTGGTTGAAGATGAGTCCTGATACAAACACTCTAACATGACTGCCATTAAATTGACCTTTAAGCCTCAGCAATGTTTCTCTGCTTCCTGACACTTGCATTCTGGTTGCTGAGTTTATTCTTAGCTATACTTAAAATGACAACATTATTGTTTGTTGTGTTTATATATATCTATATATATATATATGTATATATATAGATATATACAGTATATATATATATATGCTTTCCTTATGGGTCACTTTCCCCCACTGGAGACCACGGCCTTTGTTCAAGTCTAATTAACCCCTCCACAGTGAGGCCACTCTCGCTGATTTGACCCAGACTGGTGCTCAAGCAGTGGAGTTTCCCTGCCCTCCCAGATTCTCATTTACTGCCTTGGTGTGTGTGTCCTTCTGTCACTTTGTTGTTGTCTTCTTGGTTGCTTGGTCTTTGTCTTCTTTCATCTCTCTCTTTCTTTGTCTCTTTGGCTTCCTCCTGTTTGGTTGGGTTGTTTTCTTCTTCATTTTCCCTCCTTGTCCCTCTCTTTTTACTTGATGCCTTTCCCTCCCTTGCACCCTCTTATTTCCCCTTCTTTGTTTCTTGTCCTGTGTTCTCTACTTTCGTTGCTTTGCCTTCTCTCACTAGTGGGGGGTCTTCCTATTGCTCTTCGTCTCACCCCTGCGTTGCCCCTTGACCTTGACCCTGTACGTTGCTGGTTGTGGGACTAGATTACAATGCCCAATACCCATTTCAAGATTCTCTAATCCAGTGCCACACAATGACAAATTAATTTTTAAATGGTGAAATGATAGTGAAACAAATACATAAATAGTCCAAGTCCAATTGACCAATAGTACAAAGATTAGAAACAGTGTGCACCAAAATCATTCATAAGATTCAAATGTCCAATAACTGAAGGAGATATGTGTGTATAATCCTCCGTACTTCCTGTGACCTCCACCGCATACTCCCTTAGGAATAACCCCCACCTTATAGTGTGACCTTACCTTACTAAGGTCTAAACATGCCAATCCACTTTGGTCACGGGCTGGAAGAAAACCCAATGTTAATAGTAGAAATGGGCCTCCTTCAACCTGCCTCTTTTGCTTGCTTTTTCCTATATGGCAATCTCCAGTGATAAACACTTGCGCTCCCAATCAGTTTACAGGATTCATATTATAAGCAGAGACAAAAAGCAGAGGACTCCATAGTGTACTGGAGAGACCATCACCTTTGAGGAATTTCAGCAGGCATTGAAACAGATGAAACCAGGCAAAAGCCAAGGCCCTGATGGTCTCTCAGTACAATATTACAAAATATTGGAGTCCTTACACCTCAAACAACCCCCATAATGACATGTCATCTCTTATCCATATCAGTCCATACTTACCAGAAATACACCTAATGATGACCTAGTTTGTAGATCTTGGTAGAGGGAACTAGGGATACAGGTATCAGGGGAGGATTGGGAGCTGATTATTATAAGATTGCATTAGGGTTTCCTGAATGTCCAAGTGTAAGAGACAGGTTATATATTGCGGACCTGGTGGTAGAGGGTATCTGCTTGACTACATTAAATGTTACCATATGTGAGTGATTTTTTTTGATGCTGTGCTCATGGGAGGGGAGGAAAGCTTCACATATGGTGGGACTGTGCTGCCCTGCAACTGTTCTGGCGAGTAGTACACGGAATCACTTCAGCAATCTCCAGTATTGAGTTAGAATTTTCTCTGGCTCATTTTCTCTTGCATTACATGTCAATTCCTGACTGCATTGTTAGCCATGCACATGATTAATGCTGCCCTTATGTGTGTCCCTATGCAAAGGAGATCCCAACGTGCTCCCACAGTGTTGAAATGGTTTGATAGATTGGACAGAATTTAGGAAATAACTTGCAGGATAGACTCACTAAATATACTGTACTACTACTTGGTCATCTTGCTTAAAGGGCAGATGAGTATAACGCCTATATGAACCCTCCTTCTTAGAAGTCAGTGCTTGTTCGATTGGGGGCTCAGTGTGTGAGTTGCCGAGGGTTTGGTTTGTCTGGGGTTGGTGCTTGGGGGGGATATGGAGGGGAAGCTTGGGGCCCTGCCTGCCCAGATGTAGAGGTGAGCACCATCCCATAGGTGAGTTCCTTTGCCCTGTTTTTCTTTCTGGGTTTTTGCTTTTAATCTGGTTGCCTAATGCCCCCAGCCCCCTCCCCCTCTTACCTGTGTACTGGTACATTTTTCTGTTCTTCTTTTCTTCCTTATTCAAGTTTGTCCTTGTGTCACTAACCGAGGATTGACCTTCCTATTTTGGGGGGCTGATAAAGATATACCATTAAATCGCTGACCTGGCTGTTCAGAAACTGATACTATCTGGTCTGGCTTGGGAAACTTTAGGGCCTACCTGCTTCACATTGCAGGGAATGGGGGTGTCGGAGTGTCATATGCTGTATGCTTATGTTCCATGTACAGGTGAAACTCGAAAAATTTGAATATCGTGCAAAAGTTCATTTATTTCACTAATGCAACTTAGCCATCTACCAGGAGATTTACCAGGAGATTTTGGAGCACTTCATGCTTTCTTCCGCAGACAAGCTCTATGGGGATGCTGACTTCATTTTCCAGCAGGACTTGGCACCTACCCACACTGCCAAAAATTTTCTGAGATTGTGGACCTGGGTTTTCATGAGCTGTAAGCCATAATCATCACAATTATGACAAATCACGGCTTGAACTATCTTGCTTTGCATATAATGAGTCTATCTCATATATCAGTTTCACCTTTTAAGTTGCATTAGTGAAATAAATGAACTTTTGCACGATATTCTAATTTTTCGAGTTTCACCTGTATAGAACTTATTCTATTCTCTGTTCATGTAATACCTGGCATGCTTTGATTTGTCCCTGGCTTTATTGTGTTTGTATTGCTTGTGAAAGCTTTTGTAACTTTTGTATTTTATCATATTTTGCATATCATGTTTATTTTGTTCTTTGGTAATCGTGCCTGACAGCTTCAGCTGTTCATACTAACTTCTGTTGATGATTGGACATATGTTTATTTTTGTTTGTTTCTTTGTATGGAAAATGCAATAAAAACTATAATGGAAAAATATGGCATGCGTTCTAACTCTTAAAAATTCTATTTAAAGTGAAAAATACATTAAGGTTTACCCAGGCTTTACCTCCAAGTGAGAGTTTATTGTAAACAGTCACCTTATATTGTGTCTGTAGGCTTGTTTAGGTGCCCTGTGGGTTTATTTATTCATCTGGATTCAAAGAAAGCACACGCCACATAGTGTTAATACATCTTTACGAAAATAGTCACCCCACTGCTGAAATAAAAGTAACCTATTGGTTCCATTACATATGTCAAATATTTTTTTTCATGTTCTGTTGCTTCTTTGGGTGTTCAACGTTTTGCTGCAACATCATATTTTAGGATATATTGCCATGTATTTGGTTGACTCTTGTACTGAATCATGACACTGAGGTTTTGTATGTTGGCTGTACTGCAGTCTCCTTCCCAGTAACCGTCACCAGAAAGGGTCAGGGGAATGTTTTTTTCCCCTTCAATACACACTTTGGTTACATCAGGAATGTGGAGTTTAAAGGACACATTGCTGTTATTAGGTAGAACACCATCCAGAGGCTGCACCAGCTCATAGTGTTCAGCCCAGTTAGAGTATGCTAAAGGAAACACTGGCCACTTCACTTTGGGGTTAGCACAGATAATAAGATAATTGCACAAATAGTTGTATGAAGTACTATTACTGTGTGCAGGCTTGACAAATATTTTTAGCACATAGGTTCCTGATTGTGGAACACGCACCTTCATTTCCACTCTGCCCTCTGTCTGTGCTATAAAGACGGATCTATTTTTTCTCTCTGGTGTAATTTGTACTTCATCAGAGTGTAATGTACAAAGAAAACTTAAGTCTTGCTTCAGTGCAAAACAAATGTTACAACATCCATCTTCAGTATAAATGATGGTGTCATGGTGAGAGGGCTGAACTAGTCCAGATTCCTCAGTCACCCAACTTGGACCAACAGGGCTATGAAGACATTGAGGGATCTTCATGCTTGTGTCAATGGACTTGCAATTTATTCTGTATTCCAGAGCAAAATGGTATACACCTTCATCGTCTTGTTCCTTGGCGAATAGCTGAAGTTCGTGTTGTCCAGTTTTCTGAGGATAAACATCAAGCTTCATCCCGCAGTTTAACAACTTCATAACTCCATTTCTCTCATTTCCATCCAATGAAAATGTGAAGAGCATATCACGACGACTTTCAATGGTAATGGATACTTTTCCTTTCGCTAAACAGAATGACAAGATATAGACCTTTTACATGTGAGATCATTTACGGATACAAATTAATTTTAGGGGAAAGGTTACACTTTTCACATGTGCATTTATTTCGAATTCTATTGGCCCAAGTCACTAAAAGGTGAGGTCAATTGCTTCAATGACCCAATAGGTAGTTCTTTTTGTGCAAACAACATGAATGCACATCAGTTTGTGCTTGTAAATTAACCTGTGCTAAGTTCACATTCATTTTTAGACACGTGTAATTCTTTTTTCGTTCTGAATTGAAATTCATCTGAATTTCTGTAAATTTGGACATTTGGATGCATTCAAATTTCTGAATGACAGAAATACTACACAATCGGAGGTACATATTTCTTCCTTTGAGTGTATACTGAATAATAGCAGACCCGGAAGGAGAAGGATTGCAGGTGATTGGTAATATGGGGGACAGAGGAGAAGTGGAGAGACACGTTCTGAAAAATACAAAGTAAAAGCGTATGTGGCTTATGCTTTATAGGGTAGCTGTGTTCCTTTGTATTAGAGAGCACAGTGGTGTGGATCGGCACGGCTATTCATGATTATAGAGGATTAAAGTCACTTATATATTGAAACTTTTTGACACTAAAAGGATAATTACATGTTATTTTCACATTTATATATATTCCTTAACAAAAGGAATCTTACGAAGTTGGACTGTTTGAAGTCAATACTGACACGTTGTATGGTGTATAAATGCATGTTATTTGTTTTTTTTTGGATTTCATTTATGATATTTGCTTTTATAACGCTATAGATTTTATGTAGATAGGTATAATTCATTTGGTTTATTTGCATTTCAAAGCGCAGTGCAGATATACAGTATAATAAGCGTTAAAATCTGCATTTTTTTAATTAACACATTTTATATTTTATAAAGCAGAGGTGCTTTAGAATTAAAAAAAATGGTAGTTGCAATTTTGTATATCAAATGATATTTGCATAGCTGGTAATTAAGTATTAGATAAAATAAATTTTAGCAAACAAAAAACACAATATAATCCCCAATTTCTTGTAGTGACCCTGCCTTATGCAGTTGTTTTTCTAATAAATTTAGTATGTGCTACTGCTAGGCTGTCTGTGCATCTGTTATCTATTTTTCTATTTTCCGAAGGTCCAACCTAAGCCTGGTGGGCTGATTGGTTCTGGCTCCTGCTGGAAGGAGGTTTCAGGAGGCAGTGTAGGATGATTAACCTTTAGGCCGGGTTCACACCTAAGCAACATCATTTGTGTGCATTTGTATGCGCATGTATATAGCGTGCAGTTATTTGCACGTTCATGCGCGTTTTGCACATTTTGACGCGCGTTTGATCTATGTGAAGTTGCGCCTTTTGACTGGCAGCTTAAGAAACATTACAGGGAATGGACAAACACTTTTACAAACGCTCAAAAATGTGTGTGAAAATGGGGAACATGCTCCTGCTGCGCGTTTTTTTGCGTTTCCATTAAAGTCTATGGGGGAAAAAAACGTGCTGTTAACTGCCCAAAGACGCTCACCTTTTCGGGCGTTTGGGGTTTTCCTGCCGGAATTTTGCTGCTCAGGCGTGAACAGGGGCCATTAAAAATCATGGGATTTCTGGATTTCTTGTCTTGGGCAATTAAAAGAGCTTTTCCAAGTGCTCAAAAATGCCTAGGTGTGAACCAGGCCTTATTATTATTATTTTTATTATTACAGGTATTTATATAGCGCTGACAATTTATGCAGCACTTTACATAGTTGCACATTCACATCAGTCCCTTCCCTCAAGGAGCTTACAATCTAAGGTCCCTATCTCACATGCATACATAGAGGGCCAACTTAAAGAGGAGCCAATTAACCTACCAGCATGTCTTTGGAGTGTGGGAGGAAACCGGGGTACCCGAAGGAAACCCACGCAAGCACTTTTTTTTCCAGTGGACAAGATAATATAAACAAGCAGGTCTGGTAGAGTAGGTGACCCCACATTCACCCAAAAGTGATAAACCTGAGTTACAAAATCAGCTACATTTCATAATTTGGAATTGGGCGGGGATAGTGTAAAATAAAGGTTCATCCTCCTCCTGCTTTCCAGCCCCAGCCCTGCCCTAGCGCCGGCTCCTAAAGGTCTGACAAAAAGATGCTGAACTAGCTAGAGATGCCTCTTGTTTTAAGGAACTAAGAAGTCTTAACATCGCAGAAGAGTTCCCCTTTAATCTCTAGACATTATCTGCTGAAAGCTGAACTCTGTCAGAGTTCCTAAAACCAGGACTGTTAAGTATTCACCTTTATTCCCTTTTATTTGACTGTTGTATATATATTTTGTCTCTTTTTATTAATACCTTTCTCTGTATATTTTCTGCACTGTTTCTTTTAATAAAGGATGATCTTAAAAATCGTTAAGCTTATCTCTATGCTCTAAATACAAACTTAAAGTATCCTTGCCTCTGTGAAGAGCGCTACTGTATAGTGAATCCTGTCATATTCCTGTCTGAGAGGACAGCGGTATCATAGGCATTGTTTAAGTGTTTTAAATTGTCGCAGCAGCATATTGCAGCATATTTACAGCAAAGGATGAATTTGGGTGCAGGTTTGCCAGGAGGTAGCCAAACCTCCTTGAAGGCATAGGGACCCCCACACATCGCAATGTCAGCTGAAGCCATTGTGTCCCTATGCCTTTAAGACACCTGCACCTAATTCATCCTTTGCTATAAATGTGCTCCAAGATGGAGGCTCTCATAGATTAGAGTCAGGACCGCACTATACAGAGGGGCCTTGCCGGGGCAGTGCGACTTCCACATATTCTGCAAAAGTTGTGCAACTAAAACCTCTTTTTTTAACCTTAGTAGCTAGATAGTGTATTTCTGCAGGCTGGCTGGTGAGTGCTGGGAAATGTCTCTTTTGGTTTCTTTCTCACAGGGTCACACATTTTTCTGTTAAATGAACACATGGTTATCCTGAAAGGATTTTTGGTGTGCTGGTGACATTTCTTCAATTGATGTGTGTTTGTGGATGACACACAGAGCTTACTAGCACACGCAAGGGTGGCTCCATAGGACCCTGCAAGGGAAAGGAGCTGTCTAAAACAGGATATCAGGACCAGTGCTCATGGGACCAGCTGATTCTGCAGGAAACTAAAACTTTTAATAATCTAAGAGCAGCATCCTTTGTACAGTCATATGCAAAAGTATATCCTCGTTGAATTCTATGGTTGTATCTATCAAGACATATTTAAAATCATCAGGTCCTTAGCAGGTCCATAAAACCATAGAATTCAAAGAGGGTGTACTTTCTTTTGCACATGACTGTAAGTGATTTAATCAGCATTTGAAATAGTTTATTTCAAATGCTGCTCGCGATATACTGAGACGCCGCAGCTGAAGTGGATCCCGACAATTGTGCCGGGATCCGCCCCAACTGCGTGACTCACAGCTGGCTCTGCCTATCTAGAGGCAGAGCCAGCTGTACCCGCCCCCTCACCCGTCCGTTCCCCCAGTCAGGGCTGGCGGATCGGAGCGGGGAGGGGGGAATTCAGGCCCTCCCCTGTCACGGCAGAGAGCCGTGACAGGGTCGAGAGGGGAGAGAACGCCGGTATGTGTTCACTCACCTCCCGATCTTCTGAGCCGACCTGTGACAGTCTCATTGTCACAGGTCGGCTAGAACTATGAGGTGAGTGAGAAGCACTCACCTCATAGTTCTCCTTTAATGAAGACATAATTCTTATTGAGAAAAGACTAATACTTCCAGATAGCACTTACCTGTTTCAATAACACATGTTTCTGGTTGACAGGAAACAAGCCCGGCATTATAAAACCAGCTTTTGAGGCAAGCACTCTCTTCAAAATGCTTTAAAGACACCAGGGGCTCCAATTGCTGGCATTCCTTTTCTTCAGGATAGTGATCTCCGATGAAGAGGGCAGGGTGAGTCAGGAAGTAGTATTCTTTGTAACTGGAGTGTGAAATGGAGTATATAAAGTATATAAGAAATCAAATGTACATAGCTATAGTACAAATGCATGGGCATAATACATATACTGGGGATGATTTACTAGAGGAGTTAAGCATCCAATCATGTAGGAATCAAATTCCTGTTTGTTTCATCTGCTCATGAATAGGGTATAACGACAATTTATTGAGTGAAGATTCGTAACTCCTTTAGTAAATCAACCCCAGTGTGTGCATATTCCAATGAAAATACCAATACTTTCAGAACCTTCATTTTTAATGTAACGTACTGGGGTTAATTTACTAAATTTTCACTTTGCACAGTGAGTTTTCACTTATCTTAGTGAATGATGTGAAACAAAGTGCAAATACACATAAAAAAATACTCGATCATGTGCTAGGAAAACCCCCCAAAAAAGGATTTTTGCTTGCACGTGATTGGATGATTGAAGTTTTGAATTCAACTTCATTCACTAAACTAAGAGAATTTCCTTTTTGCAAAGTGAATTTTCACTTAGTATAGTAAATGAGGTGAACTGAGGTGTTACTGTCACAATAGTTACGTTTTCAGAATAACCCTGTGAGTGATCAGTGATCGCTGAGTGTTTGTACCCGCTCTCCTTCCTCACAGCTGTCACAGGGGGCTGAGCGAGCGGAGCTCAACCTCCTGTGACAGCGCTGGCTGTCTGCGCCCACACTGCTCTCCTCTGATCTGTGAAAGGCTGCTGAGCAGTGTGGGAGGAGAGACACCGGCCACTCACAGCCCTCTCATCCCGCAGCGCTCAGCCTCCTGTGACAGTATCTCTCCTCCCCGCTGGGACACAGAGCAGTGCCCAGCGGTGAGGAGAGAAATCAGGGATGTACCATTATTTCGGCCGAAAGATGGCACTTTGGGCATTTTGCCAAAAGTGACATTTTCGGCCGATATGTTTCGGCGGCCAAAATGACGGTGCTTCTATTCACCCCTATATTGGCCAGAAAATGGCACTTTCGGCATTATGCCAAAAGTGCAATTTTTGCCCGATATGTTTCGGTGGCCGATATATCAGTGCTTCCCTAGTTGTAACGCTACATTAATTAATATTAACATTAATATTTTAAAGTGTATATGAGATTTTAGTAATTGGGTTTACATTACATTAAAGTATAAAAGCACAGCCAAAAAAAAAAAAAACCGGCTGCAGCTCTCCTCTAGAATGTCCTCCCTCACAGCTCCTGACCTCCGTGCCTCCAGGCTGCCACTACCTAATCTTCGCTGACCACGCTGCCAGGACGTCCTACAGCGGGTATCCCGCCAGCTCCCTCGTTAGGTCCCTGCTGGGAACTGGAGTTCCCTGACAGGCCATACCCCGCTGAAGCTTCTTCTATTCTTCACCGCAAAAAACACAGCGGGCGACGGGCAGCGGGCAGCATGCAGGGCCGGTGCAAGGATTTTTGCCTACACAGGCGAAAGAGCATTTTTGCGCCCCCCACACACATGTACGCGCGCACATGCCCTCGGGCGGCTGCCTATGCACCGCACTTGTAGTCAATTAACTCTGCCTCCCATCAATATTAATACATGTCTGTACCTCTGTACGGCCATGGATGGGAGTAGAGATCCACCGATACCATTTTTTTCTAGACCGAGTACATCAACTATAGAGGACTACGAATACAGTTCCCACTCTCCCCCACATCCCCTCTGTTCCCCCATCTCCCCTCTTGGAAAGCAGTGTGGGGGCAGAGACAGCCTGCGCTGTCACAGGAGGCTGAGCTCTCCTCCGTCCTCACACCGCTTGCTCAGCCTGCTGTGACAGCTGTCAGGAAGGAGAGCGGGGTACAAGCAGTCAGTGATCAGTGATTGCTGAGTGTTTTTGTAGATAATGGAGGACAGAGTATGGTTACTGTATCCAGGACCGGATTTACTCCCCCTGCCGCCCCAAGGCCAGGTTCCACAATACGCCCCCCCGCGCCGCCAACCCCCCCTTCCCATCAATTGAGAATGGCAATCAGATGGCATCGCATTTTTCCGCAGGCGGCGTGCCATCCTCTTCTCTCAGGTCCCATTCGCAAGTGTGACCGCTGCGACCCTGGTAGTTCCGCCAGTGCCTGTCCGGTTATTTTTGCTGTTCCTTCATTTCCTGTCCCGGAAATGCAACAGGAAGAGAGAGGTTAATTCCCCTCTTAGATAGCTGTCACTGGAACAGGTATCCCAATTGGAAGTGTTACCCTCACTTCTTGTTCCCGTGAACTCTGTTTGTTGTTTTTTTCATCCCATCTGTCTTAGTAATAACAGTCACTAGGAAAAACAGAAAAGGTATGTGCACCTAAGGAGGACAATCCTTCTCTACTCTTTCATAAACTAAAAACATTATGGCTATACATACAGTTTAAGGTATATAGATACTTTAACAGTCCTAGTCACGTCTGTAGAACAAGTTGTGCAAAAAAAACGTGTACAATTAAAGAAAATATATACAAAAAATTCCATTACATGCATTCTTCGCATACAGTTAGCAAACTTTTATATTTTTAGCAATGGTGGAGGTTAGTGGTCTATATATTACTCACCTGAATTCAAAACTGTCTGTTTTTTTATCTACACTTCCAGCTCCCCATGTGCTGTCCAGTAGATGCCAGCGGCCTTCCAGGTAAACCATATTCCAGGCATGATTTGTATCAGAGAATTTCTGCCCTATCTTATAACTGGCGCCCTTAGCATATCCAATGACTTCTTCACATTTCACACCTGCAATGCTATTGAAAATGTAATAATTGTATTAACCACTAAATCAATAACAATATTCCCCTTTTTTTACACTCATGTCCCAGGTTACAATGCCAACCAATACAGGTGCCCCAATGTCAAACAATACACAGTGCCCCAATGTCAAACAATACACAGTGCCCCAATGTCAAACAATACACAGTGCCCCAATGTCAGACAATACACAGTGCCCCAATGTCAGACAATACACAGTGCCCCAATGTCAGACAAAACACAGTGCCCCAATGTCAGACAATACACAGTGCCCCAATGTCAACCAATACAGGTGCCCCAATGTCAAACAATACACAGTGCCCCAATGTCAAACAATACACAGTGCCCCAATGTCAAATAATACACAGTGCCCCAATGTCAAACAATACACAGTGCCCCAATGTCAAACAATACACAGTGCCCCAATGTCAAACAATACACAGTGCCCCAATGTCAAACAATACACAGTGCCCCAATGTCAAACAATACACAGTGCCCCAATGTCAAACAATACACAGTGCCCCAATGTCAGACAATACACAGTGCCCCAATGTCAACCAATACAGGTGCCCCAATGTCACCCAATAAAGTACAGGTGCCCCAATGTCAGACAATACACAGTGCCCCAATGTCAACCAATACAGGTGCCCCAATGTCACCCAATAAAGTACAGGTGCCCCAATGTCTGACAATACACAGTGCCCCAATGTAACCAATACAGTACAGGTGCCCCAATGTCATACAATACACAGTGCCCCAATGTCACCCAATACAGTACAGGTGCCCCAATGTCAGACAATACACAGTGCCCCAATGTCACCCAATACAGTACAGGTGCCCCAATGTCACCCAATACAGTACAGGTGCCCCAATGTCAGACAATACACAGTGCCCCAATGTAACCCAATACAGTACAGGTGCCCCAATGTCAGACAATACACAGTGCCCCAATGTCACCCAATACAGTACAGGTGCCCCAATGTCAGACAATACACAGTGCCCCAATGTCACCCAATACAGTACAGGTGCCCCAATGTCAGACAATACACAGTGCCCCAATGTAACCCAATACAGTACAGGTGCCCCAATGTCAGACAATACACAGTGCCCCAATGTCACCCAATACAGTACAGGTGCCCCAATGTCAGACAATACACAGTGCCCCAATGTCACCCAATAAAGTACAGGTGCCCCAATGTCAGACAATACACACTGCCCCAATGTCAACCAATACAGGTGCCCCAATGTCAACCAATACACAGTGCCCCAATGTCAACCAGTACAGGTGCCCCAATGTCAACCAATACCATTGGTAAACCAAAACCTTTTTTACTGGCCTGCATTATTTGGCTCCAACACTTAATTTCGTATTAATAGCAAGTGTGACTTTTTTTGTGTATGCTTAAGAAGGGAAGGGCTGCCTCCAGGTGAACCTGCTCTGTGTGTGTGTGTGTGTGTGTGTGTGTGTGTGTGCATTGTTCTATTTGTTCTAATAGTTGAGAAACTTAGATATAGTTAAGGAGCACATTTATCAGAGGTGCCTTGACGTTGTGATGTGGCTTCCATATATATTTGCAGCTGTATGCAATAAATACTCTATTTTTAACCTCAGTAGTTGAAACAAA